TCAAAGAGGGGCCTGATGACCAGACTCAGCAGGGAACCAGCAGGGCTGCCAGGGTGGTCACTTCTCATGTCCAGCCACGAGTCTCACAACATCCCAGAGTAATAGTTAGTGTGGGTGTTATTATCCCTGTCTACAGATGAAGAGATCAAGGCTTCGTATGGCTATGGACTCCACTCGAGGTCAAGGTAAAGGTCAGGGCTGGGGCCCCAGCCGAGCCCTTGGAGAGTCTGAGCTACCTGCCCAGGCCCTTCTTCCTCCAATTGCTGGGCGTTTTTATTAGATTGGCTCCATCTGAAGAGCATAACGAAGTTGTCAAAAGAAGCAAGTTGCAAGGAGCTTATGACTTGCTTTTAAATATAAGTACATGGGGACTTCCCTGGTGGCACAGTGGTTAAGAATCTGCCTGCCAATGCAGGGGACACAGGTTCGAGCCCTGGTCCGGGAAGATCCCACATGCCGCGGAGCAACGAAGCCCGTGTGCCAAAACTACTGAGCCTGTGCTCTAGAGCCCGCGAGCCACAACTACTGAGATTGCGTGCCACAGCTACTGAAGCCCACGCGCCTAGAGCCCATGCTCTGCAACAAGAAGGCACCACAATGAGAAGCCCGCGCACCACAACGATGAATAGCCCCCGCTCACTGCAACTAGAGAAAGCCTGCACGCAGCAACGAAGACCCAACGCAGCCATAAATAAATAAATAAATAAATAAATAAATACATAAATAAACTTACACAGATGAAAGGGGTGGACATCTTCATGTCCATGTGGGAGGCTCTGAGGTCCTCTAGGAGCTGGTAACTCCCTGTGCCCAGCACTGTGTTGGGACAGTGGGGCGTGTTTCAGACCAGGAGGTGGAGGGGCACATAGACCCTCAATGGGCATCAGGTTTAGTGCCTTGATGCACTGGTCTGGGGGATTTGTCCCCAGCTTTGGCGGCCTGGGGACTCGTTCTGTTGTAGCAGCACGAAAACTGGCTTTGGAGGCAGTCTTGGGTTCAAGACCCCCAGCTTCTACCAAATCATAAACTGTGGGCCTTGGACAGGTGATCTGATCTCTCTGCGTCTCAGTGTTCACATCCATAAAAGGATGGAAGATACACTTGTGAGGCTTGAGTGAGGCTACACGAGTTAGGGGTTCTCTGTAAATGCTTTTTCTCCTTCCTTCTCCTGGGGATGGACACGCACCAACCAAGCTCTGGACAGGCTCAGTCATGGGCCAAAACGTCAGCTAACTGGTCAACTGTGGGCAACAGAACTGCCGTGGAAACTGGACCACGCAGGCTGATGTCCTTCCTTGCTTGGTGGCCACTGGGACCTCAGTTTCCTCATGTGCATAATGGGAAGGATACAGGAACAGCCGTGTGGGGAATTATCTTAAGAACTAAATGAGACGAATAGTCTTCTTTCTTTCCCTTTCTCCTTGTCTGTCAACCCCTCCTCACCTCGGCAGGGATACTTGGGAAACCCAGACAGGGTTGGTTCTAATGGCTAAAGTCATCAAGCTAATGAAGCCCAGGGCCTCACCTCCTCTGCAGGGGACTGGATTACTGGGGCAGCGCTGAGACCCACTGATAAAGTCCTTCCTCTTTGGGGGTCCCTTTAAGAGACCATCCTTGCTCACAAGCATAGTGATGAGATCGGCAATTAGGACCGCCCCCGTTCATTCAAGACTCCAGTCCCAGCTCTTCCCAAATTAGCTGGGTGCTGCTGGGCAAAGGCTTTTCGCATCTCTGAGCTTCAGTTTCCTCCTCTTAAAACGGAGAGCCACATCCTCCATCACCCACGCCCAGCTCAGACCTCTCCACCCCACCCCAACCCCGAATAGTATTGTCCCACCACCATTCATTAGGTTGCTTTACATATTCCAGTAGACCTGGATCTCTGTGATAGAGGCCAGGCCACATTCTGATCTCACCTTTCCTCCCGGGCCCCTTACCTCTCTAGAAAGGGGAGGTGGCCCAGGCCACGCTCAAGGCTGACAGCTACATCATCTGGAGAGTCAACGCTGGCGGGCACATTTGTGAAAACACAACTCTGAGCACAGTAAAAAACACTCTACCCCCCACCTGTACTCCCATATTTTACCTAGCCTTTAATAGAAGAATTGGAGGGAAAACATTTCTCATGTTCATTGTTTTCCTGACTAAGCCTCTGAAATATTTTTCAGGTGAATACTTCTGGGAAAGAATTTAGTTGAGTGATATAGATAACTACATCAAAATGTCATCTTAGCTTCCTGAAAGCAATGTGCCATGGTTTGTTCTTGCCTAGGTTTTATTAAAGTAACACCGGTGGGGTTTTTTCCTCTAATGATAAAAAGAATGCACATTCATGATAAAGTATTTGGAAAGCACAAACTAGCACAAAGAAGAAAGTGAAAACAACCCATTGTCCCCCTCAAAGACAACCCCTGCCAACAGGCTGACATTAACTCTTTCTAGGGGTATCTCTGTACATACATATATAGAGAAATGTAAGAAACTAACTGAACTCAGTAACAATGTTTTCACATATAGACATACATGTTTTTGTTTTACAAATTTGAGAGTTAAAATTGAATTTCACTTTTCAAAAATATTTCACGTAAGACTCATTTTATTAAAATTGTATCACTTTGATTAATATCAATAATATTTAGAATTTTTCAGATACAAGCTAATAAATTTTCGATAATACAGACTTCAACTAAACACAAACTTTTCTTTTTTGAATTAGGGCTCACATTCTATATACTTGTGTGTAACTTGGTATTTTTTAAAGTTTTTTTTCCCATTAAAAAAATTAGGTATATGTTGATAAAATAGATAACCAACAAGGACCTACTGTATAGCACAGGGAACTATACTTAATCATCTTGTAATAACCTATAAGGGAAAAGAATCTGAAAAAAAATAGATATATATGTATGCATAACCGAATCACTTTGCTATACACCTGAAACTAACACAACATTGTAAATCAACTATACTTCAATTTTTTAAAGTTAGGACACAATTTACACATTAATGTACAGTTCTGTTAGATTTGACAAACGCATGCAGTCATGTACCTACCACCACAGTCAGGATAAAGAATTTTGCCAGTCATCTAAAATATACCTCTGAATGTCATCAAGCTTTCTGTCATTTGCAGTGCAATGATTTAACCAGTCTTTTTTTGTTGGCCATTTGCGGTTGCTTACAATTTTCCTCTTAACTGATTTTGCAATCTGAGGGAATGAAATGAATGCATGAAAATGAGTGAAATCTGGGATTCTCATTTTCCTGCTGCTATACCAAATGGGCTTCTCCCTTCTCTGCTTGGAAAACTGCTCATCCTGAGACCCAGCTCAGATGTTATCCCTCTGTGAAGCCCCTGTGATGCCAATGGAGAGTTGGTTCCTCCTTCCTCTGTGGTCCCAAGGCACCAAGTCATTGTAGGACATTGTTAATAGTCTGTTTCTCTTCTCCCCTCCAGGCTGTGAATTGATGTCTTTCGCAGTCCCGTGTTCCCCAAACCTAGGCCATGCCTGGCTCACAGTGTTCTATAAATGTTCATGAAATGAATGAACATTCTACTCTGTTGAACACAATTTTAGTATTGTGCTGATTTTTTAGGAGGCAGGTACTTTCTGAGCATGGTGCCAATATGGGCTGGATGAATTAAGCTGGTACACTTGAGGAGAGCTGGATGTTTTCCTCTGTTACAGACCCTGGATCAGGGATGCAAATTCATATTTATGTGGAGTCATTCAAATATTTATTGAATGAACAAATACATGGATGAAAGGTGTGGTCCTGGACTTGGGAGGTAAGAAAGCCAATCAGACATAGCACCTGTTCTTGGTGAGTTCACAGCTGGGAATCAAGGAATCTACCTTGGAAGGTTTCACCCCGCTCCCCCACCATGCAACCTTTACTTAGACTTAGCGAGACAGCAGCCAGTGTCACTTGGCAACAATGCCTGGACATTTTGTTTTGCCAAGAGTTTGTGATCCAGGAGTCAGACCTTGAGTGGGGAGCATCCGCTTTAATTTATTAAAGGTGTATTTATTCATCTCTGCATCTGCAATATATAGCACAGGACTTGGCACACAGCAGGGATTTTTGAAAGCTTGCGCAAGGATGAAATATGGATATGAAAAAGGATAACAATGTTGAGAAAGATAAAAATGACTACCATTCGCTGAGTACCTCCCCAGCCAGGTCCCTGACTAGGTGCTCCCTACACATTCTGTTTCTTTTAACAGTCCTGGGGTAGGTGTGTATCACTCACTCTCCCATCTTACAAGTGGGTTCCCCCGCGGTGCCCAGGCCCACACCGCAGGGAGAGGTATCTGCTGGAAGTTGAACCAAGTGTGCCTAGCTCCAAAGCCTGCCTTCTCGACACAGCGCCCAGGAGCCTCAACATCAAACGCTGCCCATCTCTGCCTCCCCAGGTACTGCAGGTAAAGCTCGGTAATGGGTCTTGCGTCGAAACCACGTCCTTCCGAATCGTGCAAGGACCGGTTCCTAGGAGGCTCCGGAGGCCACACCGCAGGCTCCGACCGGCTGCGAACAGGTGACTTGCACTGGGGTGCGCTCCGGCGTAAGGTGTGTAGCCGTGACCTTCGGGAAGTGTCGGGCTCAGAACCTGGCACCCAGTAGACGCTCGATAACGGCCTTCGGTGTCCTCCGCGGCTGTAAGCGGAGAGTTGGGGGCAGCCCCCGAGGTGGAAGACGCTGCTCGGAAAGAGGACCAAAGCCCGGAGCCCGGTGCCGGAAGTCAGGAGCGGCGACTCGACCGAGGCTCACCCACCTGGGCGGGGCCGTGGGCGGGGCTTCTACTGTTTCCAGTCAATCGGCGTCCGAGAGGCGAGCCCGCCCCCCTGAGGAGGCGGTGCTTGCACACTCGGCCGCCCCCCTGGGCTCCTCCCCCGGGGGACGAGGCGGGGCGTGCCGGCGGCGCTCGGCGCTGACGCTGCGCCGACGCGCCCGACGTCGGGCACGTTGACGCCGGCGACGCGCACCCGGGCCCGCTCCTCCTGTGCTCTGCCAGTGTCCGGCCGCAGGCCGGCCTTAGTGACTGGGGGCGGCGGGCCCGGGGCGGCGGGCGCGGGGCGGGCGGCGGGCGCGGGCTGTCTTCGTCGGGCCCCGAGCTCGCCTGGAGCGAGCAGCCGCCCGCGAGCCGCCGCGGAGCCTCCTCGCCCGCTCCCGCCGGCGAGCAAGGTAAGGGATAGGGGGACTGAAACAGGGTTGGGGCGGAGCGGGGCCCCGGGCGCCGGCGCCCTCCCCGCGGGGGCCGCGCGGCTGGTGAGTGTCAGCCCCGGGGGAAGGGTGTGCAGCGGGGCCCGGGGTCGCTGGGGCAGGGGGCGCTGCCCGCGGGACCCCCGGCGAACGGGCTCTCGGGGCCGTGCGCCCCCCCTCCCCGACCCCAGCGCCAGGTGACCCGCGCCCCCGGGGACTCTAGCGCTGGGCGCGGGGGCGAGGACCTGTGGCCGCAGGAAGTCCCGAGCCAGGCTGGGTTCCCGAGGTGAATCGTTCTCGCCACCCTGGCGTCCGGGCTGCTGCAGCACCGGGTGCGGGTGCGAGCGGGGTAGAGTCGTTGTCACTGTCAGGTGCGTGGTACGCGGTCCTGGGCATCTCCGTCCCGGGGGTCCGCCGAGCCCGGAACACCGGCGGCAGCCTCGGGAACCGGCGCCCTGCCCCTCGCCCCGTCATTATATTTGAGACACTTAGTAGCCTCTCGTAATCTCACCTTTCACTTTTCCTTCCTTCCTAGCCGTGCACGTCTGTCTCGACCTGCTATATTTCCATTGTGGAATTTTTTGGAGGGGGGTCTGTTAATTTACGTAAGTTAGGTTGACTGACCAACCATTGCAGCCGTTGAAAAACACCTCTCGCGCCCTTAACGAGTCCAGTTCCGTTTATCGCTCACCAAATCCAGCCCAAGAATTCAGGGAGCCGTCAGTCCTTCCTAGGAGCTGACTGCACACATTCCTCTAAGATGCCTGATGGATTTTGTACTTGTCAGTTTTACTGGCTGTATGCTCCTTCTGTGCTTTTCCTGAAAAATGATTGGATGGCACGTGTTTTGACTTTCTCTCCCCCACCGGGAAATAGAAAGGAAAAAAAAAAAAAGGTTACAGAAGCACACTTGTTTTCAACAACTAGAAAGTACAGCTTTGCAGAGAAAATGCCACAGGGTTTGTTCTTTATGTGAGGGTTGTCTTCTTTGGTCTTTACCCCTTCACTGGATTACTGTCAGTATTAAATGTCTTCATCTTGTGTGTTCTGGGCACTTTGTATATGCATGTGTATGTTTTCCCAGTTTTTTTCTGTACAGAGCATAGCAGTCAGATCTGGGAATAATGAGGCTGTCAGCCTTTCACTTATCAGCTACAGATAGCTATAAAGTTGCAGCTTTGTGGAAGCCTTTATTTTGCACCAGATGACTGTGGTCTGGGTCTTTCATTTCAAGATGATGTGCGAGGTGATGCCGACCATCAGTGAAGCAGAAGGCCCCCCAGGAGGAAGTGGGAGCCATGGGTCCAGCTCCCCTTCACAGCCAGATGCAGATTCACATTTTGAACAGTTGATGGTCTCCATGCTGGAAGAGAGGGACCGTCTCCTTGACACTCTGAGAGAGACCCAAGAAACGCTGGCATTAACCCAGGGGAAGTTACACGAGGTTGGTCACGAAAGAGATTCCTTGCAGAGGCAGCTCAATACTGCGCTTCCACAGGTATGGGTGATTTTCACCTGAGTTTTTTCTTAACGCTTTTTTGCGATGTTGAAATTTTTAGGTGTGTATTTTGCGTAATCACTTGTGAAATGGTGGTTCTGTTATTTGTAAGCCCCATATAGATAAAATTCCTGAGGATTAAACTTCTTAGTGAGAACAAACTCTAGTGTACCATAAAGTTCTGTAAAAACACCTTATTGCCCTTGTTCCCCTTTGGAGCGGCAGAAGGAACTGCCTAGATTTGGAATAGCGCTCCAGAGTTTTTGAAAAAGGGCCATGAAGTAACCAAGCTCTGTGGTGCCTTCCGTTTTGCTGTCTGAAGCTATTCCTTGCCTAAATGTGTATTTCCATGGGTTGTATTATGTGTTTCCAATTTCCTAATGAAATTTACTGGACAAATAGGATTGATTTCACAGGAAAAATATTTCTACAGTCCACCTTTCTCAGAACACCGGTGTTTTGTAAATCGGGTTTGTTTTAGGGGATAGAAGACTGGAGATGGATTCCTTTGGCGCTTTCTCTTTGGCAGATGAGAATTACAAAGCTTACGGTCACACTGAAGTTTTTCATCTAAGGATCTTGTGTTTGGAGCAGCGTTTCAAGGCCTTTTCTTGTGGAGCCGAGTGAGGGTCTAATGATAGGAGCAGGGAGAGGGTGTCAGCTAGAAGAGTGTGCGCTGGGTGGCACAGAGCACAGTGGGAGATGCGTGTGTTACTTGGGTGTTTACGAGCTGTGTAGGTGCCATTTTACCTATTCATATAGGTGCCTTTATGGTGCTTTCAGGTGGACATGAATAAGCACGCATTCATTCTCTCAGGATGGGTCTGCAGTGGTAAATTAGTAAATGAATAATTACTAGCTTTAATGCATTTCTGGGCTTTAGTCATTATTCTCCTGAAAGATTGGTAAGCTCAACATTTGGATTTCCTTTTTAGCAACAGTAATTCGACGTCAGTGCTGTAATGTTCTGTCTTTGTCAATTTGAGAATCATTAAGTTTTTTCTCATTTGAATCTTGTAAATTACCAAGTTTATTTGGGTCAGATTTTATTACCACAAGCTTAGAAGGGTTGGCCAAATTATGTTTTACTGGGATTTTATTGTAGTATTTGTAAATCTTTTCAGTGCTTTGGGGTTTTTTGTTTCGTTTTGTTTCTTTCGTAGCTGTATTTGTCTTCTTGTAATTTGAGGTACATACACTGAAGTGTAGTTTTTTGAAAGGATGAGCACAAGGGATTTGTAACAAGTAAGGGACAGGAGTTTTGTAAAGTCCAGTCTCATGCAGTGGAGGTTGTCACACCAGCCAGTGGGACAGTCGCTCAGTGATTTGTTGCTAGCTGCTGCTCCGTGTTGTAGCCTGGAAATGCCTTGTTGAGTGGAGGATGTGATGACGTCACCAGCTCACCTCGCCACCTGAGCACCTGAGTCCAGCGTTTTAGAAACACAGGAGCCATTAAGTAAACATTTTTTGGATCCTTCCCTTTCTTGGCATTTGTCTTCTGTTTGGTGGCTAATTGTGTGACCAGGTAGGCGTGTGAATAAACTCCTGCCAGATTATGTAGGCAAGTAATAGTGTACTTAAGAAAAACTTAACTGTAACAGAACATACGTCAGAAAAATTCACAAATCATAAGTGTACATCGCAGTGAATTTTTCATTAAGCAAACACACTCTTGTAACCACTGCCCAGACCAAGACATAGAACATTACCAGGCTTCCCAGAAGCCCCCTCCCACCCACTCCCAGTAATTGTCTCCCAGAGCTAACTGTGGTCTCGACTTTCTGCCGTTGATTAACTTGGCATGTTCTTGACTTTGTGTAAATGAAATAAAGTAACGTGTATATTTTACTTCTTGGTTCTTTCACTCAGCATTATCTTTGCGAGCTCTATCCATGTAGCCTTGTTCGTTCTCATTTCCTATTTAATAACCCAGCGTATGAATGTACCGTAATGTATTCTTCCTGTTGTTCATGGGTATCTGGGTTGTTTCTAGTTTTTACAAATGCTGCCCTGAATGTTCTTGCTTGCTTTTTGGTACAGATATGTGTGTGTTTCTGTTAGGTGTGTTCAAAGGAGTAGCACTGCCAGGTGATGGAGTATGTTCAGCCTTAGTAGGCTCTATCCAAGGTGGTGGTCGTGACCGTTGTCCTACCTCCCACAGTGTGTGAGCCGTTGGTTGTTCTGACCCTCGGTATTGGCAATTCTTTGGTTGTAGCTGTCTGGTGGTGTTGAGCGGTAGGAACTCAGTGGGGTGGGGACTTGCTCCCTGATGGCCAGTAAACATCCCTGCCGTTCGTTGGCCATTTGCTTACCTTCTTTGGTGAAATAATTGTCTTTTGCCCATTTTTTGATTGGGTTGTCTGTTGTTTCTTACTGATTTGAAGGAGTTCTTTTTATATATTCTGAGTACATATATGTATGGCAGGTTTTTTTGGGGGGGGGTGTTTGCCTTTTCACTTTCTCAGTGGTGTCTTTTAAAAAGCATAATTTTTTATTTTCATGTACCCCAGGTGATCAATCTTTTCAGTAATATTTAATGAGCTTTGTGTTCATGGAAAGATATCATCACGAAGTTGCATGAAGATGTTATCCTGTAAAAGCTTTATTGTTTTATCTTTTACATTTAGATCTGTAATCCATCTGAAACTGATTTTTGTTTATTGTGTGAGATAGGGGCCAGGCTTCCTTTTTTTTTTTTTTCTTCCTTTAAGTGTATGGCTATCCAGTTGTAATTTATTAAAAAAAGCATCCTTTCCCCAGTGTGCTGCAGTGTCATCTCTGTTGTAAATCAAGTGACCGTAAGTGTATGGGTCTGTTTCTGGACTCCCCTCTGCTCCATTGATCTTTTTGTCTCTTTTGCACAAATGCAACTTTATCTAAATTACTGTAGATTTAGTCAGTCTTCATATCTGGTAATTTAAATCCTACACTTGAGCCATTATTCAGTATTGCCTTGGCTAATCTTGACCCTTTGCATTTTCAGATAAATTTTAGAATCCACTAGGCTGTCTTTCCCCAGAAAATGTGCCGGGATTTTAATTGAGGTTGAATTTAATTTGTAGACCAGTGTGGGGAGAAATGAGGTCTTTTTAATATTGTTCTTAGAATCCATGAACACAGTATATATAGTCCTCCATTTATTTAGATCTTCTTTAATTTGTCTTAAAATTTTACAGTTTTCTGTTATGTCTTATGCATGTTTAATTAGATATCTCATATTTTTGATGCCATTATAAATTACTAGTATGTAGAGATAGAATTAATTTTTCTGTATTCATTTGCTAAATCCATTTATTTCTAGTAATAATTCTTGTATTTTCTATGTATACACTGTTATGTCTGCAGATAAGTTTCTTTTTTTTTCTTTCCAGTTGCTGTAACCCTTTTTCTTTTTCTTGCCTTATTGTACTGGCTAGGATCTCCAATATAGTGGTGAACAGAAGTAATGAGAATAAATATCCTTGTCTCATTCCCAGCATCAGAGGAAAAGCTTTCACTATTTCACCATTACATATGATATTTACTGTAACTTTTCTTTAATTTTTAAAAAAAATTTATTTATTTTACTTATTTCTTTGGCTACTTTGGGTCTTCGTTGTTGCGTGTGGGCTTTCTCTAGTTGTGGTGAGCAGGGCCTACTCTTCACTGCGGGCTTCTCACTGCAGTGGCTTCTCTTGTTGTGGAGCACAGGCTCCAGGCACACAGGCTTCAGTAGTTGTGGCATGCGGGCTCAGTAGTTGTGGCTTGCGGGCTCTAGAGCACAGGCTCAGTAGTTGTGGTGCATGGGCTTAGTTGCTCCGCGGCACGTGGGATCTTCCCGGACCAGGGCTCGAACCCATGTCCCCTGCATTGGCAGGTGGATTCTTAACCACTGCGCCACCAGGGAAGCCCTACTGTGGCTTTTTTGTAGATATTTTTATGAAAAATTTCCTCTAAGTTTGCTAAGAGTTTTTTAAAATCATGAATTAAAATTATTATATTAAATTTTCTTAAGTATATTTTCTGCAAATTTTAAAACAATCAAGTGATTTTTCTTTTATGTGGTGATTTAACTTTTTAAAAAATTTTGTGATTCTAGAATAATCCCAACCTGATCTTGATGTATTCTCCTTTGGTTGGATTTTATTTGTTAATTTTGTTTAGGATTATTGCATCTGTATTCAAGGTCTGTAATTTTACTTTCTTATACTTCTTGTCCTTGTTGGGTTTTGGTATCAAGGTTATGCTCGTCTCATAAAACAAGGTGGAAAGTGTTCCTTTTTTACCCCCAGAAGAGTTCCTGTGAGATTGGTGTTTTCTTTCTTAGATTTTTTGGAAGAATTGATTGGCAAAACCAGCTGGTGTAGGATTTTCATTAAGGGATGGCTTTTAATTTCAGATTTAATTATTTACATGGAAATAGAATTTTTCTGATTTTATATGTCTTCTTGTGTCTGTTTAGGTAAAGCATTTTCCCCCTGCTAGGAATTTATTCAGGCCACCCAAACTTTCCAATTAGTAAGTGTAAAGGGGTTCATAATATCCCCTTTAAAAGATACTTGATACTGGTAATTTGTGCTTTGTCTCTTTTTCTTAATCAGTCTCTCTAGGGGTTTATCAATTTTATCAGTCCTTTCAAAGAACCAACTTTTGGCTTTACTGATTTTTTAAAAATTTCATATTTGTTCTCTATTTCCTTATTTTCTGCTTCTTTTTCTTCCATTTGCTTTGTGTTTCGTTTGCTATTCTTTTCTCTGGTTTCTTGGGATAGATGCTTAATTGATTTTTAGCCTTCTTTCTTTTCCAGTATATGTGTTTAAGGCTATAAGTTACCCTCTAAACACCATTAGCTGCATCCCACAGATCTGAATAAGCCAAACTTTCATTTATCTTTTATGTAAAAGTATTTTCTAATTTTCATTGTGTTTTTAAAAATTATTATTTAAAAAAATTTTGAAGAAGTGTGTCGTTTAACTTCCCAATGTTTGGGGAGACTTTTCTCGTTATCTTTTTGTTGATTT